CACAGCGCCCCGCAGCGCCCCGCAGCGCCCCGCAGCGCCACAGCGCCCCACAGCGCCCCGCAGATGCCCCACAGCGCCCCGCAGCGCCACAGCGCCCCGGGAAACTCGACCCTGATTGCCCGCACTCTGGAACTTTGAGTGCATCGTCCGCCAAGGAAGCCTCTGGCACATCCAACATGAAGCTACCTGGAAAGTTTTGCCGCAGAGAATCATCGTTCTGTTGCATCCACTCGGAATCTAATGGGCTGACTGCAGTGGCTGAAGCATGGACAGACTTCGGCCCGTGATTGCGATGTAACTCATCGTGGTGCATTGTCCAAAGCCTAAATCATCAGAACAGATTTGTTGGCAGTCCCCTTTCTGGCAAATGTGCGGACGAACCGACTAACCGAAAGTCATCGGAGGCTCAGGTGAACCTCTACCCAGTCACTTCTTCTTCGCATCTGTCTTGGGAACGAAATTTGTATGCGGTCTTCTCAAGGTTCGTTATGAATGGTGGTCTGATTGTTGGAACGATGGATGGTGCGAACATCGAGATCAGGGAGGAATGTGGCATCCTGCCTTCAAGTTATCCGTCGCCTTGAATGCGCTGGCACGTCTGTCTGACACCAGGCCATGATACGATGTTCATCTTCGGATGCCAGGAAAATGAGGCCGACCCTTGCCGAGACATTGAGAGAGAGAGCACAGGGCACATGACAGCAAGAGCGAGCATGACAGGTGGCTGGCATCGCTGCCCGGGCGCAGGAAGGCCACTATCCGATCGATGGGCGCTTGCAGGCCGAGACTGAAAAACATGAACAGCGCCACGTTTGTGCGCTGCATCCCTGCGGTTACTGCAGGCCGTCTTTGACGAGATTCGCAGCGGTAAGTTCGCTGGCCAGGCGGTGAGAAATTCTGGATGGTGCAGCATGCGTAAGTCCTCCAGCCAGGCCGAGCCCGAGGCGCAGGGTGAGTTCGAATCGCTGATCAACCGCATGTGCAACACCCGCGCGGCAGGATCCTTCGCCTTTGCACACCTTCTTGCACACCTTTGCACCCCTGCACGCATCGCAGGAACTTGGGATGGAGACCGGCGACTTGGCCGGAGTTCTGTCGGCTGCACGAGCAAGAATGCTTCCCTGACCCACTGTTGTCATTCACTGATCAGGTATTTGGTGATCCATGACTTCCCTTCGTTCATCGATGCACAGGCACTCCTTTGTCGTGGTTGTGTGAAGCACCTGATGGCACATTTTCCATGCCTCCCGTTTTGACTGTCCAAGCTTCAGGCGAGGGTGGATGAAACCTACAAGAACCGGCACCAATGGTGCAAGCTGAGCATCCAAGCAGCCGCCTCCATGGCGTGACTGGGCAGAGCATACAAATTGTCCACGGCTGCTCCTGAGCGCGGTGCAGTTGTTCAGAGTTGCATTCGAGGCAGTTCTCCACCGATCGAACCATGCGAGAGTACTCCAAGGCCAGCCTTCGATGTGCATTCAGTCGAAGCCCATCGATGTCTTGTAGTCTTTGAGGTGATTTGGGAGATCGAGCCGGCGAGGCGCCCCGTGAACGAGGCCAGGCACTCGGCCGCTGTCAGCAGGGAGCCATCGTCTTTTCCTCCCCGCTTCTCCGCAGGAGATGGCGGCGAGGAAGCAGGCGGTTGGGAAGGACAAAGAGACCATCGCCAAGGAAGCAGCGGAGAACGCCGCCGCCAAGGAGGCTGCCGCCAAGGAAGCAGCGCAGACTGCGGCGGTCAAGGAGGCAGCTGCGAAGGAAGCTGCCAAAGAGGCTGCGACCAAGGATGCGCTTGCCAAAGAAGCAGCCAAAGAAGCGGCTGCAAAGGACGCAGCTGCCAAGAAAGCTGCAAAGGATGCTTCTGAGAAGGAGGTAGCTGCCAAGGAAGCTGCAAGAGATGCAGCCGCTAAAGACGCAGCTGCCAAGAAGGCTCAAAAGGATGCCACGATCAAGCGAGAGGCAGCTGACAAGGAGGCCAGCAAGGCAGGTACCGGATGGCAGCCGAGAGACTGAACTTGGCCTTGGCCCCGTACTTTTTGTGGCGCAGGCCGACGCCAAGGCCGCCCCGGGCAGAGGCCGGTGAGTCGCGTATAGTCGCGACATGCGTGGCTGCATCACTCTGAGGCTGAAGAAGCCGATCCCACCAGCAGTGACTTCGAGAATTTTGACGCAACCCCTGTCCTTTTTTATGATTCGTAGTGCCAGGGCAGGGACCAGGGATCTGTGAGCCCTATTGCGGGTTCCCGACTGGGCAAAGGCCAGATGAACAGGTTCCCAGAAATGCGACATGCGAGTTTTTAAGGCGATGGAGTTTTGCGGGTCTTGTAATGTTATTGCACGTTCGCATATTTTCCAACCGAGCAGGGGAAGGTTGGCCTTTATAATTACCTCGAGCCACAAGCCAGTCAGCCTAGTTTGCCATCCCGCTCTCCTTTATCCTTCTAGATTCGGCAAATCGCACCGCCATCGTGGAAGATTCGCGCATGTTTGAGGTGGACCATCATCATGTTTCAAGATTTTGTGCAGACCGAACGTTCTGGTGCCGCACCGTGTCTCGACAGATTGACCCAATCCGTCGTGGCGATTTGTGGGGCAGATCACTGGGCTTGGCACCAACCCTTGACCAGGAAGCTGGTTCCCCTGAACTCTCACCGAGTTCCATAGCTTCAGATCGACCAGCATCACAGAAGTGTGCTGGAGAGATGCCGTCGCGAGCATCGAAAACAGAGCCTGTAGCTGGGGATCCAGTGGAACGAGATGTGCTGAGTCAAGTTTCACCGGCATCAATGAATCAAGGTCTTTGGTTTGGAGTCACAGTGCCGCCTTATCTGCCCAGCTTTCAATGGTAAGCATATCCCCGTACACTTCCAAACAACCAGCTTTCAAGCAGATGCACAAGCCGAGCAAACAACCTCACACGATTGTCGGCCTCCGCAGTTTCGTTCACGAGCGATGGCAAGCTACGCGATCATTCCTGCGGGCGATCTGACAGTTTTGGAGCGTCAAGTCGCTTCTGGAACAGAGAAGCTAATTCACAAGGCCAGCTGGAAAGGCTGCCGGCGGGGGAAAGAACTGCTGTACACCTATGCATTAGATTCTCGTCATGTCTTTCTGTGTCGTTCAGGACAGACGGTGGCGGTGCTAGATGTCCGGGGCAGCTCCCGCCAGTTCCTCAGTGTTCGTCTTCTTTAGGTAAGGCCAACCATGACAACTGAACAGAGGCGGTAGGCCAATTATTCAGGTAGTATTTTCGTCCAGAAGAGCACTCAGGCCAGTTCGAGAGGGAGCTGCAACAACTAATGGTTGAAACACCACTGGGAACTCATCCACACGTGGTCCAGCGCCTGGGCCGGTTCCATGACATGTTGCTTGCAGAGACTAGACGACGTTCGCCGAAGGAACTGTCCGTGACCAGGAACGGGAAAAGTGCCTCCCTGATCTCAGCCATTGCCACCTCATGCGTGAAGTCAGGATCCTGGGAGAGACCGACGATGGCCAGATCGTCAACGAGTGGGCTCCTCTCGGGTCCATGATCCTTGGCATGGCATTTGGAAAAGCCGGCACCTGTGTTGAGACGTCATGGTTGGTTCATCGCTGACTGCGCGGGCAATCATCAGACAGCGATGTCCACGATGCAAACACATGTCGCCTTGTTCAACTGTTGCGACTTGCATTCGCTTGTCGATTAGTACGGTGGGGCTGTGAAGAATTGTTTGCACTCCCTTCAGTGCGGCGGTGAGAAGTTGCATGCACATGTTGACGACACATTCTGTGGTGAAATGCTTGCACATGTCGTTAAGGCAAATGCAGCTTTGACTTATGTCATGCCGTTATGTGCGGTGCAGCTGTAACATATGACCACAAATCCCCTGTTGCTAACAAGAACGTGCCGTCCTGAGCTTCAGTTTTGTTGTGGCTGGTCTTCGGCCACCGGCCCCTTGTCTTCGGCCACTGGTCAATACTGTTTGTACTGTTTGTATTGCCGTCTATCCGAGTCTATCCGGATTCAGGTGTGGCAACAAGCAGCGCCCGGCAGGGTAGAGTAACAACAGTTGCTTCGCCAGACGCGGCTCCCGGGGATCTCCGGCACTGGCAACAGTCCTTGACTTGTTCTTTCGATGAATGCATAGTATTCAGTCGCCATCGCACATCACTTCTTTTTTTAAGCCTGAAAGATGTTTTCAGACTGCTGCGGCCATGATCTCACATAGATGGAATCCGCCGTGTGAATTTGGTGGACATAGATTTTGTGATCTGCAGACTCCTCAAGCATCAGGCTACAACAATGTCAGTTGCCAGGTAGTGGATCTTCCCTCGCTTGGCGGCTAAATTTCATTCCTGATATGGTCTGGCAGAAAGCTAAGGACCAACTACGATGGTTCAGGAACGCACTTCACAACCATGGCGGGCTCGCTACCCGACTGGCTTACGAAAGTTTTAGTTGGAGTATGCGAGTGTATGAATGTGTGACGTGATTGTTTGTCTGAGATGATCAAATGCATGCAATGTACTGTATGCACGGTACGTAAATTTATGTCGATATCACTACGTCAATGTATGCGACAAATCTATGTCATCTAAGTCAGTAGGCAGGCATGTATGTATGTATGTATGCATGTATGTATGTATGTATGCATGTATGTATGTTGTATGTATGCATGAATGTATGTATGCATGTGCGTATGTATGTATGTATGTATGTATGTATGTATGTGTATGTATGTATGTGTATGTATGTATGTGTATGTATGTGTATGTATGTGTATGTATGTGTATGGATGTAAATGTATGTAAATGTATGTAAATGTACGTAAATGTATGCAAATGTATGTAAATGTATGTAAATGTATGTAAATGTATGTAAATGCATGTAAATATATGTAAATGCATGTACATGTAGGTATGCATGAATGCATGAATGTATGTATGTATGTATGTATGTATGTACGTATGTACGCATGCATGCTGGCATGCATACATGTATTTATGTATGTTTGTACGCATGGATGTATGTCATTATGGATGTTTGTATGCACGTGTGCATGCTCCTTTCCGGATCCATCCAAGCAAGCATGTCAAGTTGTGATCGACACGCAGCCAGCGGGATCAGTAGACTGCGACGCATACTCGATGAGACCAGACTCTCAAGTCGTGAGAACCCCAGCAACCCGAATTCGCCAAGTGACCAGAGACGGCGGCGTGGTTCGTCTTACATCGTCGGCTTATGGATCATTGTCAGAGCTCTTAAGCAACCAAGTTGCGAATCCATCATGCATCATCCAGAGTGCAAACACAGATTTCCAGTCGTGCGTAGGGCGCAAACGGCAAACTCAGCATCCTCAGAGTCTGCTCCCCTTTTTGGCACCATGGTGGAGTTGCGCTGGTTGTGGGTTGCGTCTCCCTGCGCATCATTGCAGTGGCTCCGAGGTGATACCTTCGGGAAGGAAGGCCGCCTCATTGCAGTTTTGTCGGGCCCGGCCCCGACGCGGATTTGTGCCTGCTTGCGTTTTGTACTTTGACTCCTCCTTGTGCTTTGTCGAGCCTAGCGGTCCTGGTGCTGCGTGGACTGGTGGGCAGTGCAACGCGATTCCGACGAAGATCAGGTTGTGTTTCGAAGCGCGAGTGCGTGAGTACGCGTGCCCGTGCCTTTGCCTGCGCAAGTACAGACCCGCGAGCGAGATATTATCGGTTTGGTTGCGACTCGCGACGAACAAGAAGACATGCAGAGGCAGACCCGAGCGAAGCCTCAGACTGTTTTCGGCCGAGGTTATCTTGGTCACTCCTGGCTGTCATTGCCTGCCAAGTCGCGTCTGCGGCCGAGGCCCCTTCGCTGCTTCGGCCGTAGGGAGGAAGGCCGTGGCTGGTTTCAGAATGCTCTGAGGCGTTCTGGAACTCGAGTTTGCTCCATCGCGACCTAGCTGCCAGAAACGTTCCTTGCCACGGGACGTTTGGAGTGTGCGTATGGGCTTTCAGAGGTTTGAAGCACTAGGCTGGTGACATTCTACGTGTAATGGCTTTGCCTGAATAGCTGTGGGTGGCCTGAGCAAGAAATAGGCTTGCCAAGTAGGTGGGCCGCCAGGCTGCAGAATTGGCACATCCTAGGTGTTGGTCTTCAGCCTCGACCCCCCACTGGTAAAGCTGACAGATTTCGGCCTGGTTGCTACCTCTGGGCAGGAACGCCGCTGGGATGGAAGAGCAGTCTGTCAAACAATAGGATTGTACGGCCAGAAGTATTGCAAACGCGGAAGCGGAAGAAAGCGCTGCATGCGAATTGGAATGTCTTCTTGAGGCTTCACGTGGCCGAAGGGTCACGCCATGGGAACTCGGTGGATGGCACCCGAAAGCCAGCCTGACTCCGATTTCCATTTCGATGACAAGACGGACAGCGTTTGTTGCCTCAGGCAGAACTCAACAACTTGTCTACTTTTAGTTGACGAGTTCAGTGTTGAAGGAGATCTACACCTTCGGCTGCTTCCTTTTCGAGTTGGCGACGCGGGGGACCCTGGTACCCTACTCACGCACGGGGAACGATCGCATTCCCGCCCTGCCGCCCGGCGAGAGAGAGGCTCCGGCGCATGTCCGGCTGTGGCTTCTCCTGAGGGTATGTGCCCAGATCGTGATCCAAAGTGCCATTCTTCAACCCGAGCAGCCTGAAGTTTGCTACTACAGCCAAAGACTTCCAGAATTCCCCGCACGAGGAAGAGGTCCGGGGCGCTTCCCTGGGCGGACCTCGGGGCTGCTCCATCTTTCCCAGCAGGATTTCGCCAGCTGATTGAGGCATCGAGCGACGAAAGCGTGATTCGAGTGGAACCCTCTTCATGCAGAATCTGAAGTCGGGAAAGCATGACTGCTGGTTTTGTTGTTTTTCTGTGCGCTTTCATGTGTGTGTGTGTGCGTATGCATGTACGTATGCATGTCCGCACTATGTAAGTACGCATGAATGCTTGTATGTCTGTATGATGTAGGGATGTATTTAAGTCTGTGTGTCAGCATGTCTGTCTGTCTGTCTGTCTCTCTGTCTGTCTGTCTGTCTGTCTGTCTGTCTGTCTGTCTGTCTGTCTGTGTTGTCTGTCATGAGAAGTGGGCAGATAGTGTGTATATAGACATAGACATAGACATAGACATAGACATATATATATATATATGCACAGGCATAGACATAAAAATAGATATAGATGTAGATAAAGATATAGATATTGATACAGAGAGAGTTTTTTATGGTCTCGCTCTGGAGCTTGCGACGTCTCAGATGTGCTGCGAGCGGCTGCCTGGGAATCGCCCGAGCTTCGGCCAACTCCAAAAGTACCTGCAGCGACTGCGGGAGACGGATGGTGAAAGCATTCTTCCTGCGAGCACGATGGCGTGCCCGCTGAACGAGGACCCCAGCCACTTGTAGAAATTGACAGGGAGGTTCATGGCTTTCTGATTCTGGTTACAGACTGCGCGAAGGCCAAATTTGGGGTAATTTGAGGGTCCCGCCTAGAGCCAGGTAAGCCTTGGGTGCCTACATCTCCTCTGCTGCGCGTCTTCGACCGTGACTCCGTGCTGCCGGCAGAGCTGAGCGACCTGCAGGCGAAGACGACTGTTTGGAGAATGTCCCGGGACCAGGCCGGGCATTCTTTTCCAGTGTGAGATCCGAAGGATGACGGGGAGCAGAGGCTGTTCCGCTGGACTCCGTCTCTGTCAGGTCTACTCGCTGCCGCTTTTCAGCGACACCGCCTGCGATGCCTTGCTGCTTGGCTGTGTATGTGCAGCCGCGAGTCAAGAACTTTAAGCCCTCGATGCACTCTCAGCACAAGTCTCCACTGCTCCCTCCCCTTTCAGAGCCGAAGGAGGGTTGCTAATGTTGCATTTGGAACAAGGCTGGAGGACCTCATCCTGTTTCATCGCGCCGGGTGCCAGCCCTAACTGCTCTTTGGGGCGTGTCGTCTTGCTTGTGCTGTGAAAAAGATTGCCATGCAGTACTTCTGCGAGCAATTTGCGACGGCTATCATCCCCTGAAATGCGCGGATGCATCGGCAAGACTACATGAGGCTACTGAGCACCTCTCTGCAAGTAACGAATCATGTTCACTGTCCTGGCAACTAGCGTCGCCTGAGTTCTCACATCTTCATGCTGCTTGTCCCGAAACTTTGTGGCGCGGCTGATCTCATCAGCAGAAATGCCTGCTTCTAAGTCCTGTGCGAGTGGCGTATTGAATGCCCATCCAACGCACACCTGCATTACCTTCCGGATTGCGGCTGAGCCAATGCTTCACAATGCTTGCTTTGCTGTGTAGATCATAGACCTGGCCCAACTACACAGGAAGTCAAATTTGTTGTTCATATTGTCATTACATGGCAAACCTGTTCTGGTCGCATGATCTCGCGGAGATTCTCGGTGGTTTTTGTAACGGTCAACCTAGATTGCCATCTGCGTGAGACTCCTGATCATGAATTTGCCACCGTTGTCCGCCGTAGTCAGAGTTTCCACCAAATCCTGGCTTCCAAAAAATGCCTTGCCGCGGACCTGTGCCCATGCATAAGGCGACAGACCTCCCGGGCAAATTCCAACAACCGCTTCTCATTGCGGCTTTCCGAGCTCGGCAGCTAGGCCGAAATTCAGGGCCCATGCTCCTGGCAGCGTTCTGGTTTTCGTGATGACCCCTAGGGTGCGTTGGCCGTTCGCGCACTATGCTGGGACCTGAGATGCTGCCGAGGCTACGAGCCCTTCCTTCGGGCCCTCGTTGAAGAAGTTGCTTCGCCCCTGTTTGGACAGCTGCAGGACCGGACACACGGCAGGGTTGTGGTGAGCTGAAAATCACGGAGTGCAGTGCCTGCAAAGGGGGATCCCGACCTCAAACTCGCCTACCGGCACGGACACACGGTGCAGCGTGTGCACGACGACGCCCTTGAGAAGTCTCCCTTGCCGGGCAGCAACAGAGGGTCCCTCCACACCGATGACAGCGACGTGACAGTGAATGCGTTCCGGCAGAATACAGTTTGTATCATGTGAGCTTCTACCCCTCTGGTTGTAGCCCCCTTCTCTTTTCTGCGCTTCCTGTCACGCGGCCGCGCAGGTCAACATTGGCGGAGACTGGTTGGGCGGTGGATTGAAATTCTTCGAGGATGACTCGGAGGAGCCTTCCCTCACGTTGCCCCAAGCAAAGGGCCAGGCGTTCCTACACCGAGGAAAGATTCGGCACCAGGCAGGGGAATGTTTTTTTGCGCAGCCTCTTGCGCTTTGTTGGCCCTTGTTTCAGCAGGCTGGGCTGCTGACTGCAGGTTATCGCTTTAATTTGGTGATCTGGTGTGACGTCGTGCACAGTTCGCGCACCTAGATCAGCACAAGACGTCGGGCCGTGCTCGGCGAAGTGCTTTCCCGGGCAGCCTTGCTGCCAGATCCGGGTGGATCTGTTCATTTTCTTGTGTGGATTGTACAGCTGCCGTCCATGAAGAGATGGTTGGCACGGGTCTCGCTGAATCACTCAGGGACAGGAGCTTCAAGCATTGCAGGCCTCACAAAAGCAATTCAGGAGGCCTTGCGAGTCGCAGAGGCAGTGCAACCTTTGCTTCAAGAGGGAACCAGTTTTGGCCAGCGCTTCGCAGCTTTACTCATAAACCTGAGACTAGCCGTGTGCTTACTCCAGTTCATGACGTGTCAGCTTCTGCGCCTTGACTGGCAGATAAGCAAACCGACAGATCCGAAATTTTGCCATGGAAATGGGCGCAACTGCTTAGTGCACGAAGCGCAGAGGGTCTGGATGTGGCTCCTCGTCTTCGCTCCGGTCTGTGTCTTGTCGCTCCCTGTTCCTCCGACCGGTCCAAAGCAGGCTGGACCAATGCAGACCAACTTGTTGCCCCAGCAAGTGTTAAACCATGACAGCAACTTGACAGTGATAGGCTGAACTTCGCACTACGTGGTCAACAGCTCCCGAGATCACGAGGACCGGATTTAGAAGCGTTTGTTGACAGGGGCTCATGGCAGCTGCAGCAGTGGGGGGGCAGCATCGTCCGCCGCCCTGTAGGCGCCTGTGGAGCTCATTCGCCACACTGGGCTTGGGCTTGGGCACCGTCACTTCGAAGACGGAAGCTGCTGAATCCGCCCTGCCCGTCAGGTCGGAGACAGTCGAGGTGCCGGGTGCAAACGAGTTCTCTCCATGGAACAAGCCGCGTGACTACAGAGCATGCGTGCTTGCGAATGGGCTGCGAGTCCTTCTGGTGTCTGACATGGAGACGAGCAAGGTCGAGGCCGCCTTCACTGCAGGTTTCGGGCAGTTCGATGATCCGGAAACCTCTGGGGTGGCTCATCTCACGGAACATCTGCTGCTCTCGAGCCCAGGTCCAAACGGAGCCGAGCCACTGGAGACGTGGCTGGAAGAGCCGGCGCGCGACGGAGATTCCAACGGCTTCACCGCCTTTGACAATGCTTTGTTCACAGTCTCGTCTAACATGAACGAGTGGCGGTCTGCGCTTGCCCGCTTCGCCCATTGCTTCAGGCCGGCAACGCCCGATGATGCTCGATTTCAGGCTAGTGCCGTGCAGCGTGAAGTGCTCAGAGTTGATGATGAATTGAACGGCCGGCCGTCGGCAGCAGTGCGGAACTTGCAACTCCTTCGCCGCCGAGCAGTCTCTGGGCATCCTTTGCGACGTTTTGGGCCAGGCAGCCTGAAAACCTTGCTCCCGAGAGGTCAAGTACGGCAGGACTTGGCCGAGCTGGGCACAGTCTCTTGGATAATGGTACAGATTTTTTTTTTAAAATGCTTATTGCGGCTCGGGGTTCCTAATGGTTGCAATGTGAGCCCATGAAAGGATCCTTCTTCGGTTTTGTCTGACTGACACGGGCCGAGGTTTGCCAAGCATTCTTTGAAAGACATGTCTGTGCCGAAACATCAACCCTAGCAGTGGTTGCAGCTGTACCTTTGGATGAGCTGGAAGAGGCCGTGGCTTTTGCCTTTCAAGACGTGCAGACCAAGGTCAAGAGCTTCAATCGCATTGCGGTGCCCGACCCGCTGCCGGAACCTTCCGGCGGCGCCCTCCTTCCCCCCTGCTTCGTCGTGGACGTGAGTGCGAACCCAGCAGTCAGCATCACCTGGAGTATACCTTTCACGGACGCCTCGGCCTCGACGGCGTCTTTCCGTGCCTCGAAGCCGCAGGTCGTCTTGTCTCATCTAATTGCTCACCAGGGGCCCGGATCCCTCTCAGCTTGGTTGAGAGAGAAGGGCTGGGTCCCTGCGAATTTGGGCCCAAAAGTTTCCGCCCAAACCGTCTTCATCACAGAATCTGGATTTGCGCTGTGGGAGATCAAGGTCCGACTTTCCCCCAGAGGCCTCACTCAGTGGCGCCAGGTGGTCGCTGCAGTGTTCGGCCTTTTGGCAGCACTACGCCAGAGCCGCAAGAAGGGAGGCGGACGCGATGTCTTGAGCGAGGCGGCAGACGAAGTATCCGCCCTGGCCGACGTTGCCTGGCGCTTTCCTCCGCGTCCCCCGCTCGCCCGGGAACTCGCCTTGGACATGAGGTCGGCGCCACGCCCTGCGGCATACGTTTGTGCATCTCGACGGATCTTCTCCGCCACGGAGTGGGGTCCCAGCGCAGGTGCTTGGAGAAACTTGGACCAGACAGAGAAGGCTGCTCGCTTCACCTCTCCACTTGCTCGAGCGGCTTCGTCAGACGAGGCGGGGAGGATGCTCGATCGCCTTCTCCCTCAGCTCGGGCGAATCACCCTTTTCAGCACGACTCCGCAAGCGATCACACCGATGCAAGATCCAGACCTTGGGCTGGACTACGGCGAGCTTCGTGTATCCAACGCAGACCAGGAGAAGTGGATTCTGGCCTCCAGTACTCCGCCTGACTGGTGGCAAATGCCAGCGAAAAATCTGTACTTGTCCAAAGCCGAGAAGATTGAAAGGTCCTCGTTGCTTGCACCTGGAAAGGCCGTAATGGGGAAGCCAAACAAGAAGGTAAATGGGGTTTACTGGTCTGACAGTTGTCGTCCAACTCAGATTCGGATGCCGGCCTCCCAAGTGACCCAAGCGACTCCCAAATTTGTGTGGGACGTTCCCGGCTGCATCTACGTGTCTGGCCAGTTCAACGAACTGGTGGTTCCTCTGGGCGAAGAACCCTTGGTGACTCTGACTCTCTGGTTGCCTGCTGCTCGTGTCGCGGAAGCATCACTGCAGCAGCGTGCTGCAGGGCGCGTCTGGCTTAAGTCTTTGCAGTGCGAATTGGAAAGTCCCTTTTACGGCGCTGCACTGGCAGGCTGCCGCTGGGAGGTTGCATTCTTCACGACAGGTTCCGAGCTGTCAGACTCAGGCATGCGACTTTGCTTCCAAGGATATTGTGACAACATCGTGACCTTCGTGCCTGATGCCGTTCGTGCGATTGTGGGGCACGTGGCCCCTTCGTCTGAAAACTTTGAGTCGTTGCGAACTCTTGCCATCGCAGAAGTGCCAGCACGTGGTGCAGAGATGAGCAAGCTGGTTGCCTGCCTTAAGAGTTTGCAGATCTCGGACATTCGCGACGAGGTGGAGGCCTTGTGGACCAGTGTTTCGCGTTCGTTTGGATCCTCACAGGGGCTAGTTGCTGGTGCCCTGGAGAAAGAACAAGCCAGCGAACTGGTTAGGGATGCGATCGAGCTTCTTCCACTCCACATCGGTGGCCCCAGCAACCCTCCGTTGAACAGTTCAGAGCCGTTGCCACCAGCTGTGCTGATGCGTCGGCCCTCTTGGCAAGGACAGATTTGAGCGATTCGTTCATGGGAGGGGGGATGCACTCTTTGTTGAGGCGTTGTATTGCTGAGCACACAGCCGAGTTGGACGGGTGCGGCGTTTCATGCTGAACTTGCCGCTCAACACCTACAACCTCGAAACTCAAACCTTACTCCAACATGTCCTTGACAAGCACATGCAGAAAAACAGTCTGTCCCAGATCCGGTGGCAGTCTGTGTGTCGACATCCGGCAATGTAGCAGGCGAGAGGCTTCCGGTCGAAAGGCTACACGAAGAACCGAAGAGAGAGCCCTTTCAAGAAATCTCTGGCTCCCCCCACCCCTGAATCGCGTGTAATGGGAGGTAGAGGTTCGGGGCAGTTCCTCGACGAACTGCTACGACGTTGCTACTCCACCTAGAAAAGAAAAAGGGGCTGAGGCAAAACAACAACACAGCACTGTTTTCGCAAGGACCAGTCGCTCAGAGCCTGTGCTTGGCGTCGGGGCTACCGGAGCTGCTGGATGTGTGCGGGCGCACTTGGCGATGACTTTGCTGGAGGGCTGATGTGCCTTTGATTGCTTGGCGGTCGCTACTCAAGCCTTGCAGAGGTTGGGGATACTTCATGCTTCAGTGTCTTGCAGACGGAGGTCGCAAGGCCGTGCTGCAGCATCAAAGTAGCTCAATCCGATGGAGTTCTGGAAGCTTTCGGATGCGACTATGCCTCGCGCATCTTCACGCTTCACTGTGGACACGGAGCCGCACCGGAAGCTTTCTGCGACTTTCTGATTTGCATGGCTCACCCTGGTCTGCCCTAACGAACAAGCAGAATCGTCGTGCTATGCTGAAGCACTACATGTGCACAGAGGTTGAACGGCCGGGAAAGGCTTAGCAGCCCGTGCCAGTGGAGATGCTCGCCGCGAAGCATCGTGCGCCGAAGAGAAAAGAGCTTTCGCAGGGGACCTGCATGGAGGTGGCTGTCAGCTGCTAGCTACTCGCGAGCCTTTCATTTCATGAACATGTCGCGTTTTTGACAGTAGCTGTACATACGTTGGCTGATGTGTGACCAGACATGCTTCCAGTCAAAGCCCTGATCCTTCGTTCGTGTAGTCCGCAGTCCCGAAGAGAGCTTCACGGGTTTAGGAATGCTGGCTGGGTGCAGAAGGTTTGTTCGCATCTTGGATCGAGACCTGCCTCAGGGCTAGCCAAGTTCAAGGGGCTTAAGATCTCTGGACGAGAAAAGGCTGGACGCGGAAGCGAGCACCCTTAAACCTGAAGATCAGGCTGCTGGTTCAAATCCAAATCTCGTTTCTGAAACGCCGATGCCGCAGCTTTTTTTCTCACCTGGAGACCAAGCTCCGGTGGTGGTGGACGGCTCGCTCCTTGTTCGGCGACATCCATCCAGTCCGGTAAATTCTGATCTTATCCCAAGCCCGAAATTCATGTCTGAATTCATGTGCTTAACACCGCATCCCATCTGCAATGCATCACCAGTGTAGGAACAAAGCATTGCAATTTGAGCATGCACGGATCTACAGCACAAACTTCAACCGCCGAGTGATACGGGATTGTCGCCGGGGGTTGTACGAGCCCCGCTACTCGATGGCCCTTGTGCTCCATGGAGCGCGATGCGAGGATTGAGCCCATCGATCAGCAACTTGCCTGACACGAGACTCCGGCTCAGTAATCACGAAAGCTAGCTCTGTGGACCTTGTGGGAGTTGTCGTTTACCATTCACTTGGGTAGTAGAGAATTCACAATAGTTAAAGGGGGGGGAAGAGGGGGGCGGCCGGCCTCTTCGCGCCACCACACAAATGATTGAATCCAATAAACATCCCCCCCCTCTACTTACAAGGTCCCGGAAACATTGTGCAAGCTGGCCCCCCAACCTTTGGTTCCCCGTCCCCTCCCCCTCCCGCCACAAGTTCCATCATGGTCCATCTGTTTAAGCAGCATGGCAACTTGCGTGTTGTGCTTACGTGACCGAGTGTGTTTCACTGGCAGGTTCCACGTCTCAGTAATTAGCTAAGCTGCCACCAGGACAGATGGAAGCTGTTCGTGGATGACCGGGTGACTGCTTACGCAGGGACACTCCGACGCGCAAAGAGGTCTGTCAAGGCACTACGATACGACAAGGGTGTATCTTTATGTGGACCTCTCATCTTGCAGGCTTAAGCTTCATGGCACTGCATGGGTGCTTGCATCCATGCTGCCCGAGCTCTGTGGACTCTGGTTCCTTTTTTGCCCTAGCTTTTGTGGCCTCTTCTCAAGTTTGATCAGGCGTTCGTTCACAAGCGTTGTTACAGCTGATCACACCACCAGAACCAGAAGTTGTGGAACCAGGATATTCTGAACCCTCCAGGCAGTCAGGGAATGAGAAGCTGGGAGTTCAGCTCGTGATGAAAGAGCAGACTTCACCTGAATCCTGCGACCCCTGCAGCAAGGCAATGTACCACGATCATCTTCAGAGGCATGAACAGGTGCGAGTCCTATCGTTCCGCCTCGGATGCTTCATGATTGTGCCTTCAGCTGTCAGCGGGTCCTGAATGCTGAAAAAAGCTGATCTTCACTGTGACAGGCAAGTCACCAGAGAGATGATGATCACGTTGTTGTTCCTTGGAAGCTTCCAGTCGTGTGGGTTTAGCCATTTAGTCATCCAGGCGAGGCAGAGGGCGAGGTTTTTGAGGTTCCGAGGCACCTTTAAATGATTCGTTGTGTCCACGTGTACACTTGGCACCATCGTTGAGCGGCCGAGGAATGAAACTGCGCCGTCTTCCTGGCCAACTCCCAGGCACAGGGCTTCAGTGTGCAGGTTCGAGGGTCGAGTTCTGGCGCACCTAGTGGGCAGCGGCTTCGGGCTTGAGCCAATTTGACTTGACAGAGAGTCTTCGGGGTTGGTTTCTTGTTCTCAGACCCTCCCAGTTAGCCGGTGGTTGCAGCAGTTTCGAAGAAGCTGCTCGTGACCGACCAAGAAGAGGGCAATCTGCTTGTAAGCTCATCGGTTTGGGATTCTTGTGATCGAGCTCATTGCATGCTTGGCTCTTGCTGGGCGCCCAAGGGCCCAAAAGCAGATTCAATTTGTTTCACTTGTGTTTGGCTATCAGAGGTACAACTATGTTTATGTCCCGTGGACCACCGACGGGGCTTCCAACATCGGCCTGGGGTTCCCGAGATGCAGCGGGGGCGGAGGAAGGGGGGGGGGGCAGTTAATCCAGGTTTCCTGTCTTTCATGGTGGAGCTTTTTTGTGTACGGGCTTGCATGCATTGTACCAAGTCTTCTTCGATTGTGTGAGATGTCGCTTATCGACCCTTCATTAGGCTGTTCAGAAGCCAATCCCAACAGCCTAAGCGGTCTTGCGCTCAGATGCATCTGGAGCCCAGGTTTGCAAATTTTGAGACTCCAACGGCATGCCAGGCAGGGCTTGCATCTCAAATTGGGTGTTTTTGAGCGGGTCTCATCGGCTATGAGGATGTCGAGCAGTGCAGTCATGAGGCATATCCACGAACCAGCTGGGAATTTCAGGGGCATTCGGGCTCAATCAACGTTGCAACGTTGTGTTCACGCGCACCCCGGCCCCGATAGCATCACTACACAGCGTGCCACGAGGACAAGTTCAATGGCTGTGGGTCCGCAGGCGAAAACCGAACTTTTGCTGCGTGCCTTCACCATGGTGTGAACCGTGCAGCTGGAGACGAGCCTCGCAAGGTTTGCCGCCGGATACTGAAGCAACATGCAAGGGAACCGATGGAACCTACATGTCATGGGCCATAACGGGACCTCAGCTCTGCTAGGAGTACATGGCAGCCATCACTCGGCGCCTTGCCTTGGCGAAGCTTGCGGAGTGCCACGTTAGATCTATCGGGCGCGCAGCTATCCAGGGTCGTGGTGCTGACCTCAGCCATCTTAGCCTTGGGCTGTCTGTTTCACCGCAGGATTTTTGTGCGATTCAGAAATTCAGAGAATGGCTGCGGATCCTTCGATTTTCCGACTGCTTCTCTGCAGCTTCCTTCCTGACAAGTCGATTGATCATCCGCGTTCTGGCTACGAAGCCTGGAGTAAGCAGCTTCTATCAGTTTGTTCTCGAGGATGAGCTTGGTTGCAAGGCTCCCATTCAAGCCATACTGCAAGTTTCGCTGAGGTGCGAATCTGTCTGCCGTCATCACGAAGCGTGGCTCGGAGGCGCTCTGAACTTGTGGACCGCTCCCCGGTTATGAAGCTAAAGAAATGCGAGCTGTGGCTTCCACAGAACTCGACGGCAATTCAGGGTACCATTGTTTTGGGGTTCCAGTAGTTGAGACTCCAGTCGGGTCTCGTCTAGGTCTCGATGCCGACGTGTCACATCTCTGTGTATGAGTCTCCACGTCGTAGAAGCTGGGAAGCTGGGGAAGTGGCCGAGAGCAAAGTCGGATATTGATGCATCCACTGGTCCCAGTCGGTTTCTCTGGATCGGCCGGTCAAGCTGAGACTCTGAGCGCAGGCCCTGACGGGTTTTGATGCCCCGGTCGTCTTCCTTGATGGACGCCGCGATTCGATTCGTGCAGTTGTGCAAAGCGAGGTTGCAGGACCGAGGGCAGAACGGCAGTAACTCCTTGGGCTTTTGGCTTGGTGAGCTACACGGAGTCCAAAGCTCGCCGATTCATGCAGCTGTCTCTTTTACCTCTCTCTGTCTCTTCCTCGTCTCTCCCTCTGTCCCCCTGCCTTTGTTTTTCCCCCGTCTCTTGCAGCTGTTCAACTCACCCACCAAATGCCGCATGACTGACACAGCCAACTATGTAGCCAGCGAAAGAACGACCGAGCGAATGAACGAACGAACTAAGGAAGAAACGAAGGAATTTTAGACGGACGGACGGAAGGAAGGAAGGAACGAATGGAGGAAGGAACAAACGAAGGATCGACGGAACGAAAGAACGGCCATGACGACTTTGGGTTCCCGAGTATACGGGAAGCATCAACTAAGCATTCAGCACCCAAAGTGTCCTGGTCAGGTCATTCCAGACACAGAATGTTCTAAACATGGCACGGGCTTTCCGTGCACCAGAGCATTGCCCCCAAAGTCGGTAGGTGTCACTGTTGAAAGAAGGGCCTGTTGTGGCGCTGAAACTCTATAAAGTCGACCACGGCACGCTGAACGCAGGACACCTAGCAGCCGTCGCACTTTCAGCCTTGCCTCGAGAACGAGCGGCGCACTCGGGAAGTTTCGCTTGAAGCCTGTCCAGGTAGTGTACAGGCAGTATAGGCATAGGTGCGAAACGAAAGCAAAGTACTCCTCCTGGACTCTTCGACATGGTATTGGATGGGAAAGATAGCTGTGACATGTCACCGCGTATCCAACGAGAAGGGGTGACCGGACGTAGTCATGGGGCTGGCAGCAGTGCTTGCATATGGGTACCTCAAGAACAGTGTTCGGCAGTGCGTATCGGCAAGGTGGACTGGGTGCAACCTTCTTCCTCTAGCTCGGGCGGTGTCGCAGGCAGAGCAGATGGGCATGTTGGCTCCAGGGACTTGGGGCTTCAAAGCCAGTGATAGTGGCCACCTGAAACTGATAATTGGGTTTACAGGCAAAATGCAGCAAGGTAGAGTCTGGTTTCCAATTCGCCTGTGTTAAGTCTCCATTTGCCGGGGTGCAGGCTTAAGGCCCCAACAGATGGCTGTCCCCCAGGAAATTTTCGTGCTGGCTTGCCCTTTTCCCGCTTTTCCGGATGATTCGTGCAGAATTGGAACCGCGACAGCTGTAAATACCTCGGCCTGGTTGAGCAGAAAAGGATGAGACATTGGAGGGCTTTGAGGCCTCAGAGATCACCTTTGGGCTTCCTGCGGCGGTTTTTGAAAGGAGCTGCGGGCAGTCATGGTCCGGATTGGACGCAGTACTCCTTGCCGACCTCGACAGAAGCAGGGCTTTTGACGCCGCCTTGCAGAAGAGGGGCGAGTGTCATAGTATGGTCCAAGAGATGGTGTTATCCACAGTAGATGCGAGGACCTACGACTGATATTTCTGCTCTGCGTTCTGTCAGGGGCTGCGTGACTTTCGCCGGATGTTAGAGTCTATCAGAAGATGCAAGGGCGTATGCAGAACGAATCACAAAAACTAGACGACAGTGGAGAAAGCAGAGGAGGTATGGGCGCTTTTCCAAATGCTATGGGCTTTGGCAGACGGAGTGCCCGTGCAATGTTCTCATCATGCTGTCATGCGGGGCCCCTTGCGCAGTGAAGGGTTTCCAACTATGAGCTCAAGCCCGGGGTTTACTTGATCTTGAAAGGTATGAGGGGCCTCTGGGCCTGCGGGTTATTGGCATGTAGCCACCGTGTGCAATCGGCTGTAGAGTACTGAGCCTGATCTAGGTGCACGGCTGTCAGGCCACAGCTGAACCATCTCCGAACCCGGCATGGCAATCACCGAAGTCAGACAAGGATCCCACCACCGGCGACGATGTATGCGCCGGGCAAAGGTAGCAGCCAGGGTATACCTCAGGACCGTGCATGTTTATGCAGACCTTAGATGTTCTTGCAGATCTCTGTGCAAGCCTTCCAAGTCATCCATAAGCCATCTGCGACACTTCCGGATGAGCGGTTGAACTTGCAAGACATTATGTAAGATACTGCAGTGCCTGGATCATCCTGGATCCAAGCAGAGACAGGAGTATGAGATGGGAGTTGCACCAGCGTCGGCTGCAGTAAGGCACGGCTCTCTTGGGTTTGTTCTTCAGGGAGAAGATCTGATTTTGCTGAAATCAGGACCTCAAGTTCAAAAGAGCTGGAGAAGCGGCCTTTTTTTGGTTGGGGCAAAAGAATAATGCTAGTGTTTGCCTGCATAGTTTTTGAGGCATGCCATACTATATTCTGCTGCTACAAGTCGCCAGTGGCCTGCGCTGTCATTCTGCTTTCGTTGCGTTGCTGCGAGACCAGTAGCAAAAGTGCTGGTGCTGAAAAACTCCTGCACCAGAAATCGCTGCCAGGCAGCCAGGCCAAGCACCTTTTCAGCCAAGAGTTCGGGCGACTTGGACTTCCACTTTAAAGGAGGCAGCAAGTTTGAACAGGAGGCAGTGAGTTTGAATTGAAAGGTTTTGCTGTCCCAGTGTGGTCGTTTCTGCTTGAAGCGAATGCTTAAAGAGCTTTGTGGACGCCATGTCACCATGAGCTTGTGGTAGCTGTAACCACATCCCTCTGAATTGGGACAGGCCTCGCCTTGCCGTCTCCACCTAACGCTTCTTCCAAAGCAATCTGTTGAGACTATGTGCAGATCGATTGCATTCCTGTGTGAGTTTGGGGGATGCAAGACGATTCCTGGGCCAGGGGGTTTTCGTGATACTTTGCGCGCGAGCGCGAGCGTGTGTGCGTGCGTTCGTGCGTGCGTGCGTGCGTGCGTGCGTGTGTGTGTGTGTGTATGTATATATATATATATGTATGTATACTTTATATATATATATCGATATTATATATATATATATAAT